TGAAATAATATTTCCAAATAGCTGCATTCACATCCAGCTTGTATCTTCAGGTGAAATGAGTTTAGAAGTTTATTTCCTAGTTCATGTAAAAGAGAACTTAAAGTTACGCCACTTTTTTATTAAGGCTGCACTATAAATTGAGTTTGCAGCACGCTGGTAGTGCAGCAAGGAAAGACTGCTGACCATTATGCAAATTCTACTGCCAGTTTCTCACAGCGAGTTGTCTTCATGCACATCAAAATATTGCTTTCATGGTTGGCTTATGCTGAACTTTAACTGCTGAGTTATAGATTTCCGGTTACTTTTTCCCTAAATATTTATCTCACAAAACATTGACTCAAAAGGAAAATATCTGAAAGCACACTTTTTTTATATCATTTTACATTTCACATTGTTGTTAGTTTATAACAATTTATGCACTCAAATATTATGAGGTAATATACTGTACATTAAGTTACAGCTTGTAAAGTGGCAAATGCTCAATAGCTATAGACATGTAATATCTCTTCAAATATCTGTACAAGAGTAATATTATGATTTTATCTAGAGAAGTCCCTAACACAAGCATGAATTTTACAGTACCTTTGGAAAGGAGACTACTGAAGCAGTTTCTCAGCATGAATCAAAAGTATTGTAACAGGGAAGTTGGTATAAAATAACTATTCCCAATTACCTTAAAATAAACTAATATATTGGTATAATGCACACATTCTGTTTAAAGACTGTTTAGGATAGGTAGCATCAGCATGCTGCAGTGCACAGTGTGCTTATGAAATATAAATATGCATAGTAAAGTACTTGAACCACATGTTCATTCTTTGTAGCTTTGTCTTTATTACATAAGAGGCCTGTACATTGAGTTCAACTGAGGACAAAGTGGATGGCAGACATTACTTCCTAGTCAAGTGGGACTGCTCCGCTGCTGTTGAATCAGGAAAATGTACAACTGGAGTTCACATCATACAATTAGTATGCCATTTTGCAGCGCTCTGGAATGAAATGGCCTTATGATCTCTAATATTGGGACAATGTTTACATATCTAACTCACAGTACTGTTATGAAGCATAATCCTGATTCTATAATTGGATCAGTGCAGCACACTTTCACTTTACATGAAGTCCAAGAAACTTTAGCAGATATTTGTAAAGTCCATCTGGCAGTAGCCTAGGTATGACATAGAACCAATCAAAAGAGAAGAATATTTCTCAAAGACAAAAGATAAAAAGAAATGTTATTAGGGTAATCAAAGAAAATTAGAAAAGGAAAGAGAGGGTAAAGGCTAAGAAGCATACACTCAGAATTTATATTACTGCATTTTAATTCTGGTATTCAATTTTCATTTACTTTATTGGACTACACTGGGAGCCACTTACGATGCAGCTGTAGAAAAGATCTAAGCTTAGACTGTTATTCAACAATTTGGTCCTATTATCAGGGAAAAAGCTTTTAGTAACTAACTGCAAACTCCAAGGATCCAATTGGATCCAAGGATCCAAGGACCTGCTGGTAGAGTGTTGCCAGCAGGTCGAGGGAGGTGATCCTGCCCCTCTACTCAGCCCTGGTGAGGCCTCACCCGGAGTACTGTGTCCAGTTCTGGGCTCCCCAGCACAAGAGAGCCACGGCACTCCTGGAGAGAGTCCAGCGGAGGGCTACCAAGAGGATTAGAGGGCTGGAGCACCTCTCCTATGAAGAAAGACTGCAAGAGCTGGGCCTGTTCAGCCTGGAGAAGAGAAGATTGAGAGGGGATCTCATCAACGTGTACAAGTATCTGAAGGGGGAGTGTCAAGAGGATGAGGCCAGCCTCTTCTCCGTGGTGCCCAGCAACAGGACAAGAGGCAATGGGCACAAACTGAAATACAGGCAGTTCCGTCTGAACATGAGGAAAAACTTCTTCACTGTGAGGGTGACTGAGCTTTGGAAGAGGTTGCCCAGAGAGGTAGTGGAGTCTCCTTCCCTGGAGATATTCAGAACCCATCTGGATGTGATCCTGGGCAATATGCTCTAGGTGACCCTGCTTGAGCAGGGAGGTTGGACTAGATGATCTCCAGAGGTCCCTTCCAACCTAAACGATTCTGTGATTCTGTGATTCTGTGATTCTGTAATTGCAAGTCTGATTCAAGCTACATTTAAGACAAGTATCTTTATTCTAATAGATGATTTCAAAGGACTTGTCACCACCTTGAAGAGTGGTAATTTTGCAGGATCACCCAGTCTTTTTGCATTTCCGTAGTCAAGATGCAAATTGTGAAGTCTATGCCTTCTAACCACCTAAACTTAATTTAAGCCCAGTCAAATTCTAAACCTAGTCTAAACTTTTGATTAAGATCAGAATATCTTCATTTCTTTTAAAACTCAAAATGACAAGATTTGTAGTACAGCCCTGCCCTAAAGGTAGGTCTTTCTTACAAGTTTCCTGCTACTATTAACAAAATTTTAACAGATATATTTAGTCCATGGGATTCTTAGTCTCTCCCTAGGTAAAGTCTTCATTACACCAGCAGGAAAGCAGTGCAATAAACAATGAATCAGTGATCTGGTCCTTCATTGCCATTAGGAAAAAAAAGAACGTGGTTGGTGGTGAGTAATTTTGTGTTTCCGGTGATGCACCGCTATTGTCAGAATTTTCTGCCTTACATATATAAAAAGATGCTTTATTTAAGCTCTTAAAAATAGTATCATTAAGAATCAGGAAAGAACATAAAAATAAATTGAAGCCTCTTTTTCTTACAATTATGGTCTTCTATAGCCTGTGAGAAATGTTAAAACTGGCTATAAAAAAAAGAGATAAGAAATAAGGCGCTTTCTAAGCTCTGGTCCCAGAGTTATACTTTAGCATATAATTTGTATAATGAAGCTTAAGGTCCAAGCTATATTGGCTTTTAAGAAAATTAGAGGGTTTTTTACCTCACTCTTTGCTCATATTAAACACCCAATCAGAAGTATCAATTTCAATTTCATCAGAAATATTACTGATTTATCCCAGTAAAAGCAATACTAAAATCATGCTCCAAGCAAAGTGGAAAAGAAAGCTTCCAAAGGCAAATTGTACTGCCAATAACAAGATGCCTAAACACTGAAACTTTAAGTTTTCTGCAATCCCACTTGCTTTGCTGAGAAGGAGGCGGACTCAGGGCCATCCCTGAAAATTCACATATATACACACAAATAAAGGAAGTCCTCAGATAAAACAGAGAGCAATGTTTTAGGAAGCCTTACGATAACTACAGAGCTACAGGGTCATAATATAAGTCAACTAAGATTATATGACTTGGTCGGTGAGGTAAAATTATAAAGCTTGCACAAGCATGATGGAGGGTAGGAACTTGTATTATTAAATAAGACAGCAAAGGAAATAATATAGCAGAAGTTAAAAAAAAAAAGCAATCTTCAAACAGCTGAGGGAACAACAATACGATGACATAGTCACAAGCTATGGGTTGAAGAGACATACTTAGTCTATCAATGCTAGCAACACAGAGATCAGAAAATCCTAATAAGATAATGGGACTTTCCTCTTCCTGATAGAGGGTTATTCCCTGCAGAAGAGAACATTTTTTTCTGTGGAGGAGTCTCAATTTTGGATTTGTTCCAAAACTCAGAAATAGCACACTTCAGTAAAACAATGGACAGACAAACTCCTATGTGGTTCAGCTTTACAAAGAGTAACAATAGCAAGATATTAATTTACACCATATTTATACTAAGCATCACTCCCATCAATATTTTACCAGTTGTCATCATAAGAATAGTAAAACCAGAGCCCCATTAAGCCGAAAGAAGTGAAGCTGTTAATACACATCTCAGTAAGGAATTGGATTTCAGAATCCAATCCGTCCCCAGTCTTGATTTGAAACTGTCCACATTTGTTGGCTCTCAGGACATAGTCCAATAACTGTTTACTCAGCCTTTGTTGGGAACGAGTAGTATTTGTGATAATGCAGTGACGCCTGACCTACGAACTTTGGGAGGAACTTCGAGAGGAAAGCGTATTTTTATTCTTTCCAATTGCTTTTTTCATTTATTTTCCTAAAATTTAGGAGAGATGTTTTAAATGTTCATCTATTATTAAGAAAAAATACACTACTAATAAATGCATTCTAAAGACTGCTTGCCTATATACTGAACTTCTCTTGTGTTAATTGTATGAGGAGAAAAAAAGCAAATCTTTACTAAAAAATAGAGACATTTCCACAGATATGAATCAAAACATGCAATTTAAATAATTAAATATGGATTGTGCGTAAAGAAGAACACTCACTTACTATTCTATATGTGACAGAAACAAGCAGAAGTTTCCCTCTTGGCTGCTCCTTATTTGGAGTGTCACTGGGTCTCAATGCTCTAATCATCTGTCTATTCTGATGATCCTTCGCAAGTAGAAATTCTGTTTCAGAGGACCTGGAAAGTTTTCCAAATACAGTTTGCCAAACTCAATACATTTCCTCAAAAAAAAAAAATCCTTTTCGGGGGCGGAGGGGAAGTTGAAAGATTCCTAGCTAGCTCTAATAATGCATTTTTGTTTAACTCCATCTCCCATATTAATGTCATTGTATTGTCATTGTATACAAGGAAAACTTACTCTGCCTGCTCAGAAGCCTAGTGATTTCCAAACATATGGAAATCACTCGGCTAAAATCTAGAGCCACTGAAGTGATTTCCTGCTGTTATCAACATACAAGTTTACATGCAAATCTTCTGATTGCCTATACACTGCCCTTGCACATTATTCTGTGTGCAAAAACAAAAAAGGTACACATCTGTGCCTTTGACCCCAACAGAGCCTTTATGCACAGCTTAAGCACTACCTTGTGCTGGTCATCTTAACACCAGTAGGTTGGACTGTTCTTATGTTTCAAAACAGCCCTGATGCATATATTTAGTAACAGTAGCTAGCCCACGACTTGAAACAAAGCACTGAAATAGAAGTGATAATACCAGGCCTCACAGTAATTTGGTTCCAAAGCTCATAACACATTCAGTCATCACATATCCTCTTTAAAACACAGCACTGATCAGCTGTGTGCCTTTTTGTTTTCAGGTAGCCCATAATCAATCTTAGGCTCTTGTAAAAGGTCATAAAGATGGTGATGACTAACTCTGATAAAAAAATTGGTGGGGTACCAATTATGAGGCTTCTCCACCCACATTGACCGGTAGATCTGATCTTCTTTAAAGTTTATCTCATATTAGAAACATTAAGCCTGACTAAACTAACAGGGTGAAAAGTCAACATTTTGGAATGAAGCCTTCAGATGAACATAGCAGAGAGGAACATTCAGGTTTTTTTTATTGTGCTCTCTGCCACCACACCTTTGCGGTAATCACTTTTTCCAATAACTTACATGAATCCTGCAGCATAACAGCACTCAAAATGTCATTTAAATATCTACGAAATCACTGTGCTCTAATACCAAGACTTACCTTTCAAATTCAACTAGACTTACAAGAGGAAAATTTAATCACTGTTTACTTATGCAGAATTACCTTCCCCTGTTAAAGAGTGACAGCCATATACCGTTTAGACCACTGCATGTCAGATCCTAGTGTTCAGCTATTGGCAAGAAGGTGTGGACAAAAAGATGAGAAGACATGGAATCATCATATCACATCACAAAAGCCATTAGGTTAAAAAAATATACAACACTAAATCAATATTTGCTGTCATTGGATTCAACTCAGTGATTTATTTCCTGAACTCATAGCTACACAAAATACTTTTGCTCCTCTTCAGGGCAGTTCCTCATGAAGTATAGTTTGGCCAAACCTCCAATATTTTTCTGCCACAAATTACTATTTTTTCTACATAATTAGAAAAGAGGCTTGTTATCAGACAAACTCTTCTGTCAGATTTATATAGCGTCATATCAGAAACAGACAGGCTCAAATAGTCGGTAACCTGGCTACACAAACCTACCAAAATAAACATAATAAATAAATGACCTATTTTGTGGGAACTGAATGCCAAGTCTAGCCAATCAGATTTCAGTGAGATCAGGAAGGAAGATTGCCTAAATAATAGCCTACCCTTCCATTTTCAATTTAATAATACTTTGCAACTATCACTTTATTATAAACCCGGCTTCTAACAATAGGCTCTGGCAGAAAGAACTGCATGGTTTTGAGGTAATCCCACCACCAACTGTCTGACTTATCCCTTCTGAAGACTACACTCTGCAGTAGAATTAGCGAAAGGGAACACGTGCCCATGTCTCGGTAACCCTATTTCACAGTATGATTTCCTCTGTAGCTTAAATCAGGACTCTGGAACAGCTGATGTTTCACACAAACTTGCTTCTGAGATGGCAGTAATAATGTGTTAACCACATGTAGACTTCCAAAATGGCTCAGGTATTTTCTCAACTTTGAGTTAGTGAGGTCCTATTTTTTCAAGAAACCTCGCTCCTCAAAACCTAAGCAGATGTTGCCCTATTTTATTCAGGATACTGAAAGGGGACCAACATACAGTCTTCTCTTACATGATCTTCATAGAACGTCACTAATAAGCCTAAATGTCTGCAGGTAAAGCAAGATTTCAGTGCAATCAGTGTAGGGCATAACCTTTTCAGCGAGTAAGTCTAGTAGCTCAAACAGTTTCCCCAAACCACATGCGCTTACAGCAGAAAAAGTCTACTATTAGAATTAACTTATAAAGCTTGAATAATAAGAGTATTACCAGGACAAATTAGTAACTAAGGAGCAAAAAATACTAAGGACCCAATTGTGAAATATATTGTTCCCGGGCCAAATATTTATGGATATAAGACTAAACAATGGGACATCCCACTGACAACGCCATGCAGGCTCAGCAGCTTAAACCAATTTTAAGATTACAAAATTTCACAGAGAATCTGAAGCACAAACCGATGGTCTTAATTCATACTTACATATTTCTTGAGGTTTGTCAAAATCCTTGAGGTTTTAGGTCATCTCTTAAAGACAAAAGAACTTTGCATCAGTTAAAAATTCTTCAGGTATTTTTACTGAAGTTGAATATCAATCTGGCTTTATTTTAGAAGTCTAATCAAATATGCTAAACAGTTCTCAAAAATACTGCATTCTCTAGTTTGCTAAAAGAAGTTCAATTTCAAGCAAATCCAAACCAACCACAATCCACTCCTGCTTTGCCTGAACCCATAAAAGCACATGAAAACATACAATACTCTAAATATATGAAAATAAACATGCTCAGACTTGTCCTTTCAAATAAACACAGCTGTTTCAGATTGATCACCACCTTTTTATTCACCAATGACTATCCCCATTTGCACACATTTCATGCAAAACCCTGTTTTTACTGGTAAGGTCAATCTTGCCAGGCATCAAAGCAACAGTAACTACACTTTCTCATAAAAGACAAGATTATAAAGCTGGATTGGCAAACAGTCATAGTATAATTGCATACTGCTTATGCAAGTTGCTCAACAGTAACAAATCACTTGAAAAGACATTTTTTGGCAGCTACTGTGGTGCTGAAGGTTCACCTGAAAAGAGGGGAGCCCTGCAGATTAGGAATACAACCATTAATATGGAGACCCTGTATATTTGTACTCTTTAAAGCTCATTTAGCAGATTCAGGTGAAGATCTGGCTCCAGGGCAAAACAGAATGTGGGACTATAAAAGTTGCCTTTTGCAGCAATGTGATTTAGAAATAAACAAGTGTTCCATTTTTTAAAGTTAGTTTTCTGTGTTCAGGGTTTCCTGCAAGACAGAGTGTGCATATGCACGATTTGCTAAGCTTTTTGCATAGTTTTGGCACCTAAAAGTACTGTAAGACTAATGCTGGCATTTTCTTATCTGCTAAATCATTAGACAACAATTTTGGTTTGCAGTGAAGTTAGTTCGGCATTACTCTCATTTGTTACCCTACAGCTCACCACAAGGTAGTATAAAATTTCAGAAGGATCACTGTCCCCTTCCATTGTAACTTGGGAGAGTAAACTGCCCTAAATAAGAACTAACCTAATGAACACTTACCCTTTTCTTATACTGAACCATCTTAGAGATTTAAATACGTTTAAGATTTTTCTAGGCTTGGGAAAGAGATAAGAGGCGCCTGTATGGCTGTCAGGTTAACCTTGCTAGCCTCAATACTGTTAAGTTCAGTACAATCAGAAATTAGCTGTCTAAGTTCTGCTGAAATTATGACTAGGCCTAGAGCTGCAGGCAGCCCTTTACTGGGCTACAGCGCAGCCGAATGAGGATTTACTATTCTAAAAAACACTACAATGCACTACAGAGATGCACTCTAAATACCCTGCTTGCTCTCAGATTTTGGGGCTTTTGTGCTGGTTTAACTGTTGAATACCAAAGACATGTTACAACCATGACAGAAAAAATGATCTTCTAGAATGATGATAACTAAAGAAACTGATTTCCATAATGCAAAGTAATTAATCTGATGTGCTGCTTGGGGAGGAAAGAAAAAATCTAGGTGTGTATCTCTGTTCAGAATAAAACTTAAGTAGAGAACTGGAAGTACCTCCAAAGCAAATGTTTCATTTTTATTAACATCAATAAACTCAAGAGAGGAAAAGAAACTCATACAAAACCTGTCAGAACACAGTTATTGAACTCTGCAGTTTCTAGTCTGGGCAATAAATGTAGGTCAAGGGAACTGGAAAATTTAATTACTCTGTAAATTTTTAAACCTGGTTCTTTCTTCTCAAGGAAAAGAACGTTGCTCCTTCGCATTTAAGCAGACTTTGCTTCCCTGAAAACTACAACCGCAGCTAGGTAGAGAGTTAGTTCTGTTTGAATATAGAGATTTTTGAACTTCCTTTAACAGTGTCTTTGCATCTTGCATTGTTTACTCAGCTGTGGTTCACACATGTATTCAAGGTATCATCAGTTACTTAACGATCATTGTTGCTATTGCGTAAGTAAGTTCGGAGCAGAGGGACTTCACTAAAAGAAAAAAAAAGACCTTGTACCAGTGGTACAACACTGTAACAGTTCCTTCAGGCAATATAACCTATGCAATCCTAATTCAATACCTAGCACTAATACGGCGTATTAACAAAATATGAGACAATGCTTCATTACAAAACTACTGTGAATATGATATGTGGTAGCATTATAAATGTTAATTACTTCCTGATGGTTGTTGATCTCACTGTTTCACAAAGAGCTGTTGCTGACTTCTGACTAAAGGCTAATCTGAATATCGAAAGACCACAGGTTCAATGAGGATCAAAAACCCAAATCTTGACGTTTTAAGCCTCCTGAATACTCTAAAACCAAGGCCCATGTAAAAGTTCCATCTCCAAACAAAAAGACATCAGTTCAGACATTTAAGATTAATTTCTAGCATGATGAAACTCAACCTTCCTCCAAAAAAAAAAAACCTCAAAAAAATCCTCCCAAGGTCCAAAAACCAAAAGGTTCTACCACTTTACTTTTTAGGATTCACTTGTCCTTACTTTAAAGATTTGTCTATATTTGTGAAGCGAACACTTTTTAAAAAGTGTTTTTAAATAAAAGCCTCATTACATGTAGGCAGAAGCTGGAGATTCTAGGAAAACAAACGGAGCCCCAATTAATTTACAGAACTTCAGAACTTTGACGAATAAGCTGTTCCTGCATTTGATATGTGGACTGGAAAAGGTAACCATAGCCAGTCTATGCTTCCTACTGACCAGTTGATCTTGCAGGACTATCGCTTCCGGCTCTTACCCCTGTAATATGTGACTAAGGACCATGGAATTTCACAAGAGAGAGAGGATTGGTGTGTTGGGTTCTGCTTTGGCAGTCAAATGTTTTGTTTGATTTTGGAGGATGGGAAGGGTGAGTCGTACAAAAGTGGAAAACCTGGCCTAAGTTCATCTGATCTTTGGACACTGCTCTTGTTAAGCGCAAATCCTGCTTTTGAACTTCCTCCAGTTGCGTGGGAGGTGAGGTCTCCCAAACAAAAAGAACAAGTCAAAAAGAGTCATGCTGAAGACTTAAAGCCTGTTTGTCTTAAAAGGTAAACTCCAAAATGGTAGCTCAAAGTAAAACAAGTTCCATTGTAAGGGGAGAGAACAAGCAGACCAGCGGCAAGATATTTTTCTTCACTATGTTGCATTACGTGAATATGCACCTATGCTGTTTGTAAACACGTATCTTTAAAACTACATAGGAACGCCACTCAAAGGTGGCAAAGTCAAATACTTAGAAATGCTAAGTCAAATGCTAAGAAATGTTCGTACAAAACCTAACTGCGCAACCTTAATTTGGAGCCCGTGAGTTTAATTACATCACACTACTTTTTCTGTACCATGAACAAGCTTGTGAATACTGGTATCAAAAATGTTTTTATCTTTTCTACAGTGCTCCCACAGGACTCCAAGCTTAACTCTTCAAACTTTGAACAAAAAAATCCGGACTCGTCATTCCCTTGCAAAGAACTTTTATTCTGATTAGGGAACCACGAAATAACTAGCAAATCTGTAAGCAGCCTGAGATCGGACTGATGATGTGTAGTAAGTACATGAGACCTGGATCTGCACTGAGGGAGAGAAAGAAGCAATGTGACCTGCTAGCCCACTTGCTAAAAGAGGCAGGGGCCTTCTAGGGAAAAACATACTTACACAAGTAAAGCCAAATGTATAGGCAAATTAAATTTGGAGTTTATTAATATTTGGCATTTCGACTTTGCAGCTTATTGTATCTTTAATATAATAAAATAATTCAATATGATTTGTTTTCCCTTCCTCAGCTTCTGTGGTTTTTTCAAACGTGATATTGTACTGACTGATCATTTAGTTAAAGCTCTGAACTGAAGGTTCAAATTTTGCTGACAACTTGAGCAACTGCATGATAAACCCTTCTCCTTTCAGTGTGTTAGTCACAAAAAACATACCAGAAGTCTGATTTATTGCAGACCAAGAAGACTCAAAAAAACATGAAGCCTCTTTGGATGGAAATATATAGGGCTTCTGGAACAACATGGAGCAAGTAAGACAAAGCACATCAGCCCACTCTAAAAACAGAAAGTAATCTACTGAACACCAAATAAGATTTTCCTGAGGAAAAACGTTTAGGGGACAGTTTGGATGGGTGATTTGTACAAGCACAAATGTGCCGGCACACGCCACTTCCCGTGTTTCACGTGTTTAATCTTTCACCTGCAGGGAGCACATCTTTTGATGGCTGCTTGCAACTCACAGCTTCTAGAGCCATTGAAAAAAGGAGTCACACTAAAAACACTGGGGCTTTGTGCCCATTAAATTATAATAAAAGTATGGGGATGGGGCTTTTTCTGACCTAGAAGCAGCATGGCGAATGTCTTTCGTCCCTACTGACTTTCTAAATAATTTTATTACATTAAACAGAGGAGCAGTGTAGGCAGAGTCTACTTTCCTTACTAAAAAGCGCTGGTATATTGTAAAAAATAAGTTTCAAAGAGGGATTAACTGATATTGGCAAAGCTACGCTCTTATTACGGTATGTCACCCACCCACTCTCCGAGCCCGAGCCCGAGCCCTGCCCG